AGCCCCACTTGGGACGCGGCTAGTTTCCTAGCTGGTCGTGATTTCCAAGTCAAACTTCTTCCTTCGTCTTTTCTCTGTTCATTTGTGTACACAATAAACTATTCCTTCTATGTTGGCCTCCACCGACTTCTCCTCTCCTAAGGAACCATACCTTGAAGATTGTAGCTGTTAGGGTTAAACGTCTTAACCTTAACTTCTACAAAGTAACGCTATCCCAGCTCTCCGGGATGGGTATGGAGGAGTTTCAACGTCGAGGTAACGTCTAGTGTAATAGTCGGAGACAGCATTGGAATAAGTTGAATATAATCCTCAAATGTCTTTTTCCATTGTAACCACGAGTCATTTGAGGGTTTCGGAAAGCCTTTCGGCCAGAAAGGGGATGGTGCAGGTAATAAAGAAAATATGTTCGTTGTACTTGCGTCGCCAATGTTATGTATTCAAAACAGAAAGCAGTTTGTAAGCAGAATGTTGTATAGGCAAAACAGGAGGTTGTCCGTAAGCGGGAGGTGTGCTGTAGGACACGCAAACAGTCTTGTGTGTGAGTCATGTTAATCAAGGGGATTTATGGTGAGGATTAAATGTCATTGACGGAAAGGTATCCAGTCAGGTTAGAGAAGGGGTGACGCGCGCTCGCGACATTGTTTGCCTAGCGCGAACTGTCCCGAGATCACTTGCGGGCCTACATAGCAAGTACATCTGCTCATCGCCCAGTGACATCACGCGCAGGATTCTTCCCAAGCAACAACCACCATACTACCGTCCCGGGGTAGACTGATTACTCATCCACGCTAGGAAAAACCGAAAAAACATACTTTTGCTCACCCTTTGAAGAAAAGAACTGCTGGTGACAGTCACAGACATTAAGATGTCAGGCAGCAGAAGAATAATCACGTAGGTGGATGGGTAAAGCAGGAGGTGGAGGAAGGATGAGGAGTCAGTAAAGTCGCCGGAATAATTTGTTCATTTGTCTGACCATTTGAAATCTCCTTGTGGTCCATCGTCAGAGGTAGAAGCAACAATAAAACAAGCAACAGGTTAAGGGGTACGGGCCAATCGAACATTAGCAGCGCTAGACCAGAGGTGACTGCATAAAGCTGTGTATGCCGGCGCCAGATCAACATATCGATTGACAGAACTCCCATTAGTGGTCTGGACGACTTGTTTGACGAGGCAATTATATCCGTGGCTAAAAAGTTAAACTCTTGACCCCCTTTCGTAGGTACTAACAACCCTTTGTGACT